TTTCCTTTACAAATATATATATATTTTTAAAGCTACGGACCCAGAATCAGCACTTCTCTAACAGGGCGGAAATAGAGGGGTATGAGGCATGGCTACAATGGGTGATCTGTTTGGTATTTTGAGCAAAACACTTCATAGACATGTTTTTAATATATTTTATATATCTGAAACCTATAATATATGCCTAAAAATAGTATAATAGGAGACCTTTAATATTGACCATAAAGTGCTTGAACCTTTATGTTGCCGTGTTTTAAAATCTCTACATTGGGTCCAGGCTGTTGAATCTAAGTGTTTGTGTTTACGAGTGGCTTTTAAACCTGCCGCTGTGCCGTTGGTTTTATTTCTTAACAGGTCCATAAGGAGTACAGTAAGTGTCTGCGTCACTCCTACTGCTGCAGCCGCACCTCCACCACCAGCTCCCACGGCTCCCTGAAGAACTCGGGCCTGCGTGCCAACAACCGCTACTACAGCGGCAGCCAAGCCCGCCACGCAGCAGCCCACCGACAGGTGCGAACAGGACAGACCCACACATAGAGGATGGCACATGCAAAACAGTACCCTTAGATGCAGGCTCACTTGTTTGTTTATCTTTACACAACAACTAGACCACTAATGAATTTAAAAATAGTATTTTTCTTCAAACAAATGAAGAGTAAATCTGCCTTAGCTTTCGGTGAAAATCAGCTTGTTTCGGTGGAATGAAACAAAAAAATCTATTTTCTTGAATCAAATGACTCCCTTGGTACTGTCTGAACACTTTCAAAAAGAGTGTCAAAACTAAATGAATAGCTTTGGAAACAAGGGAGATTTTAAAAGTTCTGTTATGTAAGATTCTAGAGTACAAAATGAGAGCGCCTGTGAGGATTTGACTGCTAATCAATAACAATGATTCAGCGATTACTTTGCAAAGCTTTGAATTGATTTACTAACTTACTGACTTTTCACACAACAGTCATGTTTCTTTCTTCTGCCCAGAAAAAAAAATATTTGCAGCAAGTGAACCACTGGTGTTACAATACATTTTGTTCTCAGTGACAGGTCAGGATAAGAGTGTGTTACATCATGATATATGAGGCGTTCATTAGTCGTGGCAAAGCTGCTCTAATCATCTGCCGTGCTCACCTCTCTTGTGAAGTTTTTACTTTCATGTTTCCATACATTACTGGCAGGCCTATGCTTACTAGAATGACTCATTAATAAATATTTCCTTTGAAGTCCATGTGCTATATTTAAACAAGGCACCATACAGCACACCCAAAAATGCTGTGCATGCTGGTATATTCACTGTCACAGACACATACTGTACACACATTGACAGTCCACACAATCAACAAACCAGCTTTCCCACACTGTACTGAGAGGCTTCTTGATAACAATAGTATCAGCTACTGCAATCATGTTCTACACTGCTCCAGATTATTAGCCCCCCTCATGATTACATGACATAGCACTGTGCTTCTTTACCCCACGCCTCTCTATCATTGTCTGCCATGTTTGCCTATTGTTCTTTACGGATTAGATCGAGCCCCACCGTTTTGATTACAGGAGCCCCACTGAGATACAAAGTCTACCCGTCGTGTTTCTATATTTAACTTGTTGTCTGTTTGCTGCCACTCACTGAGCTCTGCTCCTTCTTCCAGAGTCGGATCCGCAGGATGTGGAACGACACGGTTCGAAAGCAGACGGAATCTTCTTTCATGGCGGGAGATATCAATAACACCCCAACACTCAACCGCGGTGAGGCCTCCCTCTATCACTGCTCTGCTCCCCCTCTGTTATGATATGCATGTTCTGATGCACACAAACATATAGGCTATAGCACACACATTTAGATAAACTCAACAGAAATAACTAAAGCAAAGGGAGGGGTGGACATAGCCAAGGCAAGGTGCTGTTACCCAGCGGAACATGTGCACATGTGACCGTATACAAGATGTTGAAATATATGTTCATGCCTGGTGTATAAAGGTTACCTAATGATTCACATCGCCTTGCAGCTACTGGCAAATAGCTGTCAGAGCAGTAATAGCGTACATTTAATAACATAAAGTTGGTGTCTGGTTGGTGAATTTCAGTTTGCAGTGCAGTGGCAGCCGCTGGTCTTTAAAAGCACTTATACCCAATATATGAAGCTCAACACATTTAATATGTGAATCTGTGTGTGGGTTGGTCGCAATTAACTCCTCTTACTGTTATTAAGCTGATTTGAGTGTATCTTTAATACTTTAGTATACAGAAAATAGTCAGTAATATTTTACTTGAGCCCACGGGTAGGGTAGCTACTTCATCACATCATAAATCACTTCTTGAACAGAGTTTAAAGCTTTGAATAACTGTTTGCAGTCAGTTGCTGTGAAATATTTAATAATGTTAGAATAGTTATCCGTCTTTGCTTTATTTATTCATTTTGTTTCCTGATTTCCAGTTTTAAATAAAATAAAAAATGTATTTGAGCAAGGATGGAGACGAATATAACAATATCAGGTAAACACAAAACCAGACAGTTTATACAAACTAATAAACCTATAAAACTAATATGGTTTTGCCTTTTCGTTTTTTTTTTATAATCTTCCACATTAATTACAAAGAAGTCTTGACATGGCAATATATCACGGAGATGCATGTGTTGAGATCCCATTATTATAACCCGTGAGCATTAATGCGATAATGCTTGAGATTAATCTGGAAACCTAAATGCGTTAAACCTTTTTAACACAAAGTAATCCCTTTACACAGTTACCCTAAGTTGCTCCCATCCAGTGCGGAGGTTTTCGATAAACCAAAAGTAGTAAAAAGACAAAGAAAGCCGAGGAATTATCCGGAGAGACATGTATAGCACTGGCAGGAGATTGATGGACATCAGTAAGAGCCCTAAAGGCACAACAGCACTTGTTTGCTTTAGGTGTGGTGAAAATAGAGGAAAGGCATTTTACTGAAGCATGAGCCAGTGTCTTGAAGTTGCACATGAGTGGGAGTAGCGTCAGAGATAATAAGCTCTTAGTAGAGGAGATGCACAGCGACTCTTTGTGCCTTTGTCGAGGCTTTAGCTAAGTGTCGGAGAATTGGCGGACAGCAATTTTTCTGAAATCTTGTTATTATAAAGTATGAACCCTCTGATTTCTCTCTCCAGTGAATACTTGTATTTGAAACGTGTGATTAATAATATGATGAGGAGTATTGCTGTGATGAACTGTGTGTGATTCTTTTGATTGATTGAGAAAACTTGAAAAATACCTATTGTAAAAACTGCTAGATGACCTCAGAATCCTATTTATAGAGTCATCGGATCGATTGCACCCACATTTCTTGGATGCAGTGACGCATGCTGTCCCCTCTGAACTCCACACAGCACTTAGAGGTTATTTAAAAAGTAAAAGAAATGCGTTGAGTCACAGATTATCTCAGCCTCAGCAACTGTTGGCGTCACCGCTGCAGCCGTCAGTAACACGGAGACGATGGAGGTTGGCTCAGGTTTAGATTGAGAGGGGTGTGGTGTTGATGATGACAACAGAGGCAGTTGCTAAATCAGCCGTCACTCTGTATGCTAATTTCATCCATTTTGTTTTTAATGAACTGATTAGCGTGTGAGCGAACAGGGGGTAATTATTCTAATTGAGGAGAGTGACAGGAGGAATGCAGGGGGTGATGAAGAGGGTGCTACGAGTGAGCTGCATGGATGAAAGGTTTGTGTGTGTGTGTGTGTGTGTGTGTGTGTGTGTGTGTGTGTGTGTGTGTGTGTGTGTGTGTGTGTGTGTGTGTGTGTGTGTGTGTGTGTGTGTGTGTGTGTGTGTGTGTGTGTGTGTGTGTGTGTGTGTTCGGCGGGCGGACAGGCAGCTCATGGGGCTTTCTTTCACGACAGACTTATCACCAAGGCTGTTGGAGACACATAATGTAGATCATTCCATGATGCACTGTCAAACACAAACAACTGTGCTGGGAAACCTTTATTTTCTGTGCCTCCAAGTGAAGTTTGTCAGTTGGCAGAAAATGAAAGACAAAAGGAGAGTGGGAGCGGGAAAAGTGTGAGAGAGAGAGAGGCTCTATCATGAAGGAGTAATTAAAGAGGCCAAATCTGCAGAAAAGACGCTGCAGCCTTATCACTGGCATCTCGGATTTCTTTGAGTTCTCCACTTAATTTCTTTATGAACCTAACTCTCATACTAAAGCACAATAGTAATGTGTCCAAAACACAGAGTGCTGCACAAACACACACACACACACACACACACACACACACACACACACACACACACACACACACACACACACACACACACACACACACACACACACACACACACACACACACACACACACACAGCCTCCCATGATTCCTCTTGCCCTACTTTATCTCACCACTTAAAGCTTACTTCCTTCTCCACAGGATATTCCTATGAGGTACACACACATATCTAATCCCAGCTAATTTGGTGTTGTTTGTTAAATTCTGGCGTGAGTAACTGTGGAAATGTGGTTGAGTAAAGACACAGCAGAACGAGCCAGAACATAGAGGGAGAGGGGTTTGTGTGGCATGCCAAATAGATGGACGGAATGAGAAAGAGGAGGGAAAATGACAAATAAAAAGCTGTGTGTGAGTGCATATTTTACTTTTTTTGAATTCCCTGCTCCCTTGCTGTGTGATGAACGGCAGGCGTGAGACCTGAAGGTTGTGCTTTGCCTTGGACTACTCTCCGTCATGCTGTCCTATTTTTAATTTCATGGCATTTCTGTTTGAGGTGCCTCAGGCTGGAGCCATACATGGGCATTATACAACATTCTCTCTGCCATTTCTTTGAATTATATTTGTCTTGTAGTGGCATTCACATTGCACTGGGAAATTAAGTGTGTTTCAATGGCTGCACCCCTCGACTACATAATGACATGCATTACTGTTCTACCTCATCTGACTACATTGTCAGGAGCCAAACAAATAAAAAATAATGGCAATGCTCCAAACAGTTCCTTTCCCATGCAATTGTATTTTTACTCAAAGGTTACAATCAGTAGTCATAAACATTGAGGAGAACTGTGAAATGCATTACTCCATAAAGCACCGGCATAACAAAAATAACCCCATCTGAATAAACAGTAAATATTTGTATGATTCCAGATGTTATTACTGAGTCTGGAAATGTGAATTTCAGAGCGCTACACCTATCGTGTGCAGTGTTCTCGCTTGTGATTGCTTTGCATACATTTGAGGAGAAGATAAGAGCCTATGTGTGATTCTGTTTATTTTTTAAATGTTTACAGCGACCATGGGCAACCACCTTTTGACGAACCCAGTTTTACAGACTCGCACTGGCACCTCTCCTTACAACACGCTGCTGGCCGAGAGCTTCACCCCCCCCTCACCTGGCGTCTTCAACTCTACTGGTTGGCTCCTCTTTAATACTCTGTGTGTGCAGTGATGTCAGCACATGTGTGTATTCAGTATTCAAGCAGCTTGCTGTCACTATTTAGACAAGGTTTACACAAACTCATTAATGTTTTTGAATGATTTTGCACATGTTTCTGCGTTTATGTGCATGAGTTTGGTTTTTTCAGAATTTCTATCCTTCTGACATATTCACAAAGCTGAACAGGAACGAGCCAAACAGTGCTTACAGCCTAACCAGCCATCTGGTTGGGTCTTAAATCTTCATGAGAACAGCCACAAACTGATTTAGAAGTTTAGCTACAGCTGTGACAGCCAGAAATCGACAGGACAGTTTTCCTATTTTCAAAGTAGAGAAAGCAGTCGGCTTGAATCATGACGGCCGTAGAAAAAGGGATCCGACAGCTCGGTGGCCAGGGCAGGGGACGTTCCATCTGGCTTTTGGATGGTCAGGTGTGAGTGTCAGTGTGTGTTTGTATACTTAATCAAACTGTAGGTATATTAAAACATTCCTCTTCATTTACAGTTTGATGCATACAGCTGCTGTATTAGACACGTTCAGATTGTTGCTCCACTGCAGTATCAATATTCACTTGGTGAGGGACTGAGTGTGTCTCCTTGCCGACTGAGTGTGCATTCGCAGAGTATCAGGCCTCGTGTCTGAGGACTGAAATTTAAAGCGGCGTTTCTATTAAATATTTTAAAGCCTTTCCGCACAATACGTCAAGCCTGATGGCCACAGGCCTGGCAGCCGAGACATTTTTAGAAGAGTGTGGGAGAGGAAGTAGGGAGAGCACTTCATTACAATGTCTAATTACCCACACCACCACCGAAGAACGTTGATTAAAGTCACACTAAGCATTACATTTCAAAAATGAACATTTCACATTTTTAGATACTACGGCTTTTGCTTTGCTTCTTGATGTTTTTTTTCAGGAAAAATCCCAACATCTGTGATGTGTGGAAGGAAAGTAGTCAAATAAAAAATTGTGGCTGCTGTGCAAAGTTTTATATGAATTATGTATGTATCCAGGTATCAGTGACAGTAGTAAACAAATATCCAGTATTTTCTGTGGCTTAGAAGTAAATGTAGGAGGAATGTGATGTCAAACCAACAGGACCAAGTCTGCATAAATCAAAGTTAGTGTGTGTGTGTGTGTGTGTGTGTGTGTGTGTGTGTGTGTGTGTGTGTGTGTGTGTGTGTGTGTGTGTGTGTGTGTGTGTGTGGGTGTGGGTGTGGGTGTGTGTGGGTGGTATGAGTTGAGGGTTCAATGTTGAGTCTGAGAGAAAATAAAAACAGTTAGATGGACAAGGATTTAATTTATTCTGTTATCGCTCCCCTTTCAAATGTCTTAAAAATAATGCATCAAGTTAATGTTGCACCATTAAAGAACGCTTACTGACGGGTGTCTTTCATTTTATTCACTCCACATGACTTTCTCTGGGACTCACAGGAACCTTCCGTGACCCGAGTAAGTATAATTCACCTCAGTTCACATCATTGTACCATCTGATATTTATTGTTCTTCTGTATCTTGCGCTTTAATCAAACTGTATGATAATAATACCAAAACCCTCGGTCCCCTGTGTCCCTTCTCTTTGTGTTATGGTCCAGAAAGCACGTTATCAAAGGCCCGCGATCCATGTGGGATGGAAACCCTGCCCTTGAATGGTAACTTCAACAACAGCTACTCCCTGCGCAGCGGCCCAGGGGGTGTAGGCGGGGGCAGCTGTGACTTCCTTGGTGGTGGGGGAGGAGAAAGTTCCCCAACCCTCCTCAATCCTCGCAGCTCAGAGGCCCTTGGAGGCGGGGGCATCCGACGAAACCTCTCCGATGCCGCGGCCTTCGAGAAAATGATCATCTCTGAGCTTGTGCACAACAACCTGAGAGGGAGTGGAGGAGGATGCGACGTAGGGGACAGAGTGTGTGGCAGCCTGGCCAGGGGACGTCCTCATGGAGGGGTCGGTCGGGGGACAACAGGGGCCGGGCCAGAACCATCTATCAGCATGGATGAAGAGGAGGACTATATGAGAGAGGGACGGCAGCGCACCCCACAGGATGTGGAGCTGCTCTACAAAGCTCTGGAGGAGCCCCTGTTGTTGCAGCGCGCGCAGTCCGTCCTCTACCAGAGCGACCCCGAGGAGTCCGAGAGCTACACGGCCGACCTCACCGAGAGCCTGGGCCACAGCGGCCACAGCGGCCAGAGTGCTGGGGGGCAGACGGGCAGCAGAGCACCAGACTCCCCCGCCCGTGACTCCCTGTACACCAGCATCACCAACCTGCGAGACTCTCCATACCCCGACAGCAGCCCCGAACCCCTGGAGGTGGTTCCCCGCTCAGCCCAGCCCCCCGAGGAGCTGTACTACAGCTCTGGGAGGCCCGCACTGGGCTCCCGCGGGGCCCCAATGCAGACCTTCTACCAGGCCACACACCGGAGACCGAGTGGGGAGGGACACCAGGGTCAAGAGCCCGCCCATAATGAGGGAGACGGACAGATGCAGCTGGTCACCAGCCTGTGACTGGAGGCTGAAGGAGGAAGTTGGAGACATATGTGATGGCCAAAGCCGCCTCCTAGCCTGCCTCGTTTTGCGTCTCTCCACTTTCTGCTTGTTTGGTTGCCTTTCTTTCACTCGACTTTTATTTAGCTAACAGATGAGCAAACAGAGTGACCTTCATGGGGGAGTCATGGCTGAGTCAGCCTTTATCTTAAACCCTCCCCAGTCTTCTGGAGATAAGTGATGGGAGTTTTGTCGCAGAGCATTCGTTATGCTTTCTTTAACTCTGTTCCCCCCCAAAGTTCTTTTGTGACCCTAAGGCCAAGTCCAGCACTCTGAATGTATCACAATCTACCCCGTTTACCTTCAGATATTTCAGAAACTTTAAAACTTTGTAAAAGTTTTTTTTATTGTTATTACTCATCAGACCTGCCTCCGGAGATGGGAATATTATTTTGTATTTTATCTCATTTCCCTTTCGTAACATCCATTGGTCTTTTTTTATGTCATCGTTTGATAGGAGTAGCTAGCTGTGGAGACAGGGAATATAATACACTATTATAACCTAAAAAGAAGTCTCACAGAAAGCTCTTCATTGTTGCCAAAAATATATTTTATTGAGCCAGAACAGAAACTAGAACATTCACAAACACATTCACATATATGCTCACTTATCCAGAAGTGCTCATTACTGAACATCAAAAGTCAAAATCGTACTTCATCTAAGTAAAGGGAACACGCTTTTGTTCCAAGCAGGCAGTGGGAGCTGATTCAGTTGCCTTCATTTTCTCTTGCTGTGAATCGACGACTATGTACAGAAGTGGAGTAAAAGCAGAGACTGAAACGCTGCCCCCCCCCCCTCCAGAGCAGAAGAATCTGCATCCTAAAGACTGGCCACTCCTCTCCACTGTTCTCTCTGGTTGTTTGCTTTAGGCATTTGAAAAGTTAAATGACTGCCTTGCTATTGTTTTTATGAGAGTATTCAATTTGTTGACTTTTGGTCTGCATCCTTTGGGGGCTGCGAGGGCCCCCTGTACTTTGCTGTTAGAGCCTAGCCAGTTGAAGTGGACTTGTTTCCTGTGTGTGGTTGTGACAAGAAAGACTATAAACACCGCGAAAGCACTGGTCGACCAATTGGTATAGCCGTGTACATAGGAACCACACATGAATCTACTTTATTCCTAATATGTAAATAGACACAACAGATGATCAAAAGCAACAAAATTAACAAATACTATGAAAAATGACTTCTTGTACTGCAACAAATCAACGAAAGAAAAAAATAAAATGTTTTGGAGTTTGTGAACTGAATGATAATGGTCTCTCTCCCCGGTAGCGTGATCTATTGCTTGTCTGTGCCATTCAGTGAAAAATCTAGGGATCCAATGGAGATGTAAATGCAGAGAGAGAGACAGATTATAATGTCTAGTAGATTTTATTTATATATAAATATATGAAAAACGGAAAACGAAAAAATCATGGCACCATTTTGATGTAATATATACACCCAGGTTGTTAATGTTTGACCTTTGACATTCCCAGGGTGGGATTGCCAAAGGCAGCGGGAGGTGTGAGGAAAGCGAGATAGATGTTGCCAAATGTCATTCTGTGCCTCAAGGGCACGATAAAGCATTGTGAGTAACGGCAGCATCCATAAAGTGATTTTGTTTGTATTATTTGGAAGATGTAACCAGATAACACTTACTTACGACATGGGTTTTAGCATGTATGATAATGACATTTGTTTCGCTATCTGGAAAAATTGCATTTAGCTGTTTCTTAAAGGTAGTTTCAGCACTTCTCAAAAGCTTAATGTGACAATTCATTGATTACCTGTGTGCATGTGTTTGTGTGTAATTATGAATGCGTCTGAATGGCTGGTTGTGTGTGTGTGTGTGTGTGTGTGTGTGTGTGTGTGTGTGTGTGTGTGTGTGTGTGTGTGTGTGTGTGTCTGTGTTTGAGAGACAGAGAGTGTGTGTGTGTGTGTGTGTGTGTGTGTGTGTGTGTGTGTGTGTGTGTGAGTCCCGTGCACCAGACTTTTGTGCACAAACATTTGAAAAGCTATTTTTCCGTGACATGACTTGAATGCACATTAGACAAGGGGGATACTCATCTCAAAGAGCTACCTTAACTTCCTCGCCTCAAATAGGAGTTTATGTTGCTATGGTGTTGAGGCACAAGGAGGAAAGGAGAAATCAGACCGCGTCGGGTGACGTGAGATATAACCATACACCATCAAAATGACAAGCAGGGTTGACTGATCGGAAGGAACATGTTTCCAATATGCCACCTTATGCAAGCTATACATTTGAGAAATTAGCTGTCAAGAGAGAGCTGCTCATGAGGCTCCTTTCATCCAGCTGAAATCTGTCTGACCTTTAAAAATACTGAGAATTTGCCTTCTCAAATGCTGTATTTATAGGTATTTATTATGGTTTATTTATCAGTTTTTATGTATGTTTTTGGAATATTTATTCACGTTGATTTATTCATGGCATTGTCATTTATTTTATTTATTTCAAATGTCTTCCTTGTAAACCTGTGACGAGCGAGAGAGTGTGCTGTGAGGACAGGACGTGAGCAGAAAACAGATGCGTCCACTGCAGTGTGACATTTGGCTGGGCCCGACTGTCCCACTTCTAAGAGAGAACCCAAAGGACAGCTTTTAGTGGTGTCTCCTGGGGCTGAAAGAAAGAGAGGGTTAAAGACAGATAAGGGAGAGGGATTACAAGGATTTACCACCATTTATTCTTGTTATTCAAATCACTTTTGTAAGTATCATTGTAAAGGCTGCAGAGCGCGATGAGGCTCAGAACGAAGGCCCCCGGAATCAAGACTTGAGCCATAGAGGGAACGTGTGCAATACTGCTGATGGTACATGACTTGGATTTGAACCTGGGAGCTGCCTGTGTTTTCAAATTTAAAGACAACATGCTCATGTTTTGCGGCGCTGCTGGACAATGTGAAGCACAGATCTAATGGCTTGAGGATTGGGCACCGTACTCAGGCAGCACCCATTGGTCAACTGAGGACAACTGAATGTACTTTAAGAAGCACGACTGAAGATAAAACAATTCACTCCAGGGCGGAACTGTTAATAGGAAATACAAGTCGGCCATCATCATCTTAATCTCCATCATTCTCATCACCATCATCATTAACTCCATCCCTCCCTCATTGAATTTGATATAATGTGCTGATGCTGATCTTTGTCAGGGGAGAAGCAGTGTTCAGACAGGCCTTCCCCATGAGGGGTGGGAATGTGCGTCACCTTGGGCCTGCTTCTCTCCTTTCCAGCACCTCCTACCTCCTTTTCTTTTCCTCCCTATCTCTCCCATCTCATCCACATTTTAATATCAATCTCAATGGACTCCTTTAGTGCAGCACTTCTTTGAGAGTGTTAATTTGTTTTTGTCAAAAGCTTTGTTTATCCCAGATTAATATCTCAATAAACAGAGTGCAGTACTGTGGTAAATGATGGTGATTATACAGTAGAAGGTCCGCAGCCCATGCTGTGGGACGGAGGCTCACACAACAGGAGTTTCTCCACCATTCAAAGTCCTCTCAACCTGTGATTACAATAATAACACGGTGGTTTCTAATTCGCTGCAGTGAACTGGCTTCGCTCTCTTTTTTTCTACTTTCTTTTTCCATCCACGTCTGTTTCACAACATTTCTCTTCTGTGCCAGTTGCAACATAACATGCATGTGCTCCAGTTGTTTAAAAGGTGGGATGCCCGACCTTTGACCCAGTAGTGGCGCACCCTTTGTCCGCTTTGTGTCAGTGGAGAGTGAACTATTGCTCAGTCTATCATTAGACGGCGGAGGTCCCAGCAGGCCTACAGTCAGTTTACTCACAGTCCACACTTTAACACACAGACCTTTCTTCTTCTTTTTTTAACCAGTGATTTGTGTGGCCAATATCACACCAGGAGGGTGGAAGGGGGAGGGGAGGATGGGGGGAAGGGAGGATGGGAGGATGGGAGGATGGGAAGGAGAGTACTGGTGTGTGAGTTCAACAGCAGCAGAGGAACAGGGGGTCATTATTGTATGCCTTTATAAACTGACCCAAGAGGGGGCATAGTGGGGACAACTTCGGCATACATGTCCCTGATGTCACACATTCATAGCCATAAGTAGTCATTGCGACAGAGAGTTAGGGAAGGGGGGATGGTGGGGGAGGCAGATTTGCAGTGAGGCTGTGCAGGGAGGCTGTGCAGGGCTGGATCTGGAGATAAGGAGAAGGATGTGCTGCTTTTTGAGAGCCTTTTCTGTTGGTGGTTTAAAGTCCAGAAATTATCACCCTTTATTTGTTTTATTTGATCAAGCTGGCATGTCATATTTTGAGTTTGTCCATTGAATAAAACGATTCTGCCTGTAGAGGAAGATAGATGACGTGATTGTTTTTTGGTCTAATGGATGCTTCCATAAATAAATGTGAAAAAATGAATCCACTGCCGGATTTTTAGAGTGCTAACAAACGCAAGAAGATTTTCCTATACAGATTTTTTAAAAGCAAATATTAACACTGATAAAGTAGTACTATTTTGTTATTGGTCTCTTGTTGTGTGTCCACATGACTACTGAATACAGTACTTATAGAGTAGTTTTAACAGTATGTAGGGGTATGGCATAAACCCAGTGATGAGGATTGTGCTGTTTCTCTTTGGTGTTGAATATGTGTTCGTGGAGCTGTGCCAGCAATTCGGGCCATCTTTGATGCACAGGGTGGGACCGACATCAGAGGGGCTTTTGTGTGGGATGAGCTTCTCCAAATGTTAAACCTGTGAGGCACATTCTACATAGAAACCCCCAGGTCCAAACAAACATATCTTTTGACACACATATAATAACCATCTTCAATCAGGTTAGGTCGTTTTATACACTGAAGTGAAGACTTGTATCAGCTGTTTACTTGTTAACATTTATACACATACAGCAGGAGCAGCTTGATCTATAGGCATGTTTTTTTCTATTTCTTCCTCTTCCTCCGGTCTCTGAAAGTAGGGAGGGGCTGAACTGTGCCTGCATGTGCCTGTCCACGGCTGTAGTGATATCGATGCCATGATCGTCTGTGGGACGAGTCAGTAAATGTTGCCCAAGATGATCTGTGTCCATCATCAGAGGAAGAGTAGCTGGCTATAGCGTGAATGGGATATTCTGAGTATCAGCTAATGGCTGTATTATTAACTCAGTACAATGGAACCTGGTCAGTATTGGACATCCTTGAAATGCTTTTGTTTCTGGGAATAAGTTATTGGGTGCTAATGGTTTTACGTAACAGGCTGTAGGCATTGAAAGAACTGTCATTGTGCCATGTTGGGCTCTACATATAGCACCATTTCCAGAGCTTTCTGTGATTTTTCTATAAAATAAATAATTTGTCATGTACCACTGAAACATTTGTAAACTGAGGATATATAACACCTTGATACTGTTTCTATTTTGTTTGAAGGATAATGTTTTTCTTGTTTATTTTCTCAAGACCACTGCTTTGACAGCTGTCCGGCCAAAGGGGATGATTTTCTGTGAGTGTTTGCATCATCGCAGGTCAGAGCGACCTTGTATCAGCACATATTAATAAAAAACTATTGAAAATATACACTGTTCATGCTTCAGGCTTTCTCTGGCAACATCTTAAAGAGGCTCAATTGTTTTGTGGTTGTATGCTTGTGCAGCATAATTGCTTATGTGCTTATGCATGTGTCGGTGCAATAAAAGCATAACTGCGCACAGAGATTATTAAAAAATCAATCTTTCGCTGTGTCATATGCATATTAACTTCAATATACCTACGCTGGGATTCAAACTGGAAATGAAAAGACATCTTTAAGCAGTAATACAGTGGTTATGTTTTATTCATGGGGTGCCCTGCAGGTTACAAGAGCATTGTGCTGCTCCTCTGTATACCATGGGAAGCAGGGGACAGAAGCCAAGCAACCAAGCCCCTTCCTGAGTCAGCGCCCCTTTGAACCACACACTGTACTGTAGTATGCATATGCAGATGAGTCAAAGACTGGTCTGTGTCCAAAGCATACCACACAAAGTGATCAAAGAGATTCAGTAAAAAGCAAGCCGTCACTTTAGGAGGGCAAACCCAAAAATCTTCGTGTTTTGACAGGGGCTAAAGAGCTTTACGCGCGTTTCACTAGAGTAACCCTGAGTCAGTATGACGAGACCCGCTACAATGGTGCTTTCAACCATCTCATATGTCGTATGTACATGCAGACCTGCTCAGCTGGATTCTTCTTTAACGAGCATCAGTCAAGGTTAATTAATCATACAGTGTAGTGTGATCCCTGATGTAATCTTTTAATAACTGCCACGTGAGTGCAGCTTACTGGCTTCTGATTGAAGCACTGTTTGATGCTGTCTGTAAAGCTGCAGCGGCACACAACTGTATGCGACCTTTAGTATGCTCCAGAGTAAGCGTAAAGATTGTGATCAACTAGAGATCAGTTAGGGATAACACAACTAAGCGTCAGGCCTGGGTTGTTGCAGCACATCTAGCTTCCCTTAAGCCTTCTTATCCCTGATGTGGGCTGATCAGTGTTCCACCAACTTTTGTTTCCTTGACTGCTCATAATACCGTTCAATGAGGAGTGTGATTGGTAACTAATTAGCTGATATCTAATTATTATGTGCATCAGAGCATTCAGCCATAATTACAGCCTCTCCCATGTCCTTTTCCCCCATGTCACACTGTACTGTGTACATGTATGATATGACATCATCCACCTCGCTCATGTCCCCTCAGTGAAACTCCCTGAGAGGGGAGGCTCTGAAGCCATGACCATTCAATCACCCTGTTTTCACTGGTAGTAGAGTAACACTTTAACACACTAACACACCAAAAATGAACAACAAAGCCTCTAACCCCTGACACAATTTCTTCTTCATACTCAGCCCATCTGAGAGGTAAAAAGGGGGCTCTTTCAAGGTCATTGAACATTTAGGGAAGCTTTAAAATAGAATCAGACATTGACTAACAGCAACTATCAGCAGATCCTAAGAGATAGAGAAAAGAGATGGATTATATTCAGCCTGAACCCCCGTGTGTTTGTGTTAAACCGTGATTACTACCATACATCAAGCCATGCAGGCAACACATCTTTTAAATACTGTAAGATACATTTAAATTAACAAGTACTGTGTAATTTATGTACTGTTTATTCATTGGTTGATTAATAAATGGAAATGGTATACTGGAAAATAGAGATCAACTGCAACATAGCCACTAATTGCAAAAGGGAGTGACACAATAGTCAATCAGCAGCTCTATAAGGGAGGACTTGGTTTGCAAAAACAAAAGCCTTTTATCCCCACTCATAATGGTTAATCACAGAAATACAGCATATGAATGTATATTTTGTGGTTGAAGATACAATCATGAATTTTGAAGCTATTGCCATGTATACGTAAATACAAGTTAATCGCTAAAGTAATAAGAGATGTAGGCTAATTATGTTTCCTGTATACCTCGGTGGTAGAAACCGATGACCATGTACTGCCCCCTTGTGGTAAAAAAAGGATACTTCCAATAGTTTGGAAAGCAAGTTCTAACAAAAAGACCAGGCAGTGAAATCCAGGGTGGATATAGCATTTTATTTAAAAGACAAAAATTCATAATTTGTAATGCACTTACAATTGTATTCTTTCTCATTTATATATAAATTGATTAATAATAAGAGCACGTAAGCAAGAAAAGAACAATCTCAATATAATGTGAATCTGAATTTGCATATGCGGAGTAAAATGCTTTAAAATTACAAAATAGTGAAGGCACTTGAATGAATGTTATATGATAAACAAGAATTAATAGCAGACTTACTTATAACAGAATGAATACATAAGATATTACAACTCCGATAAAAAAGACGAAACATTCTTTATGATGTTTTCCATTCATGTCTCATTAAAATGAAATATTTTAACAAGTCATTGTAAAATATGATATATCTATAGCTTATACAAATGTATTTAATCCGTAGATTATAAAAATAGTATAAGTATTATTATATGTTTTAGTCTCGCAGCTGAGAATGTGGTACATTTTCTGATATTTGGTTCACCCATACTTTGGTCAAGCCATGCACTATCTATGTATCTCAATAACAAATCACACTTGTGTCTTTGTTGTTGTGATAACTAATATTAGTTTAAATGTAATAAGCCAAATTAAGATGTATCCATCTGTGAGTGATCACATTATGTCAAAAGGAATGATTTGAATAGGATGCAATTGTATACAATTAGGTAGAGAGGGCTTTTAGAGAAAACGTATATTCGAACATCGTGCTCGAAAAGAGAGCAACGATGATGATAAAAGTTATGATTTAAATGAAAGTGCTGGGCTTGATTACAAAGAAGCTGCCAGTAAATGTACCACATACCTTGTGAGACATATAGTTATAGTGTATATATAGGTTATTATTTTATCTATAATAATAGTTATCAGTATTGATAGTTCCCCATGTTGGTGGTTGACTCCACGCCATTTTCCTGAAGCAAAGAAAACAAACAATGACTATGTTAAACGAAAACAAAATAATACAAGCATTTTAACAGAAAATATATACAGTAGAAAGCTTTTACTTACCGGTGCAGTAGAGCACATTCTGGGCTGGTTTGACTCAAAGCCGGCCTTGTTCACCAAAGCTCTGGCTTCATCCGTCATGTCAGGAGGTTGGAGGGCTTGCCTGTCAGCGCTGGAGACAGAAACAAGGAATGGAGATATAAGCCTCTGGACAGAAATAGTATAACTTGGTAATGCTCACTTTCCAAGCAGACAACACACAAGTTCTGCTGTTGAAAAGCAGACTGGAAATTGCAGAGCGACAGAGATTTGTCTTTGGGCTCAGTTCTGAGTGCACAGTGTCTGAGAGCAGGAAGAAGTCTCACCTCTCAGGAGGCAGCAGGCGGTGTCCTTCATTCTCACAAGCTTCAGGACCCCCACAGCCAGGAGCACATCCATTGTGCGTTTCCTCAATCCTAGAGAAGTATTCACAGATGAACAGATGGGGATAGAAAAACCTGAGGGTGAGTACTTCCCCTCATTTGTTATTTTCACTGCTGTATTGCATTTCTTTGCACTGTTTACACGATTAAAGTCAAACTTAATTTTATTATTAATATATAGTCATCACAGTTTTGCCTGTCAGCTTTTATGTGAAAAATAAGTCCTTATATGCATGCTGTTTAACAAGCTCTATATTACTGTATGTTTTATTAATCTTGTTTTTATCATATTGTATCACTGGATATTTTTTCACTTTATTTGATTTTTGTTTAATAATTTTGTGAACATTCAATACACCACCTAACATCACAGTACTTTACTTGCTGTAAATGATTATATTTAATGCAATTAACAAATTCTGTATTTCCTTCTAAGCTAATAAGAAGTGATTAGCCCCTTGTTGGCATAAAGTATAACAAGGTAAACATAAAACATTTTCAAGATAAAATTACAGTATATCTACGAATATCTAAATTGTTAGAATACAGACTTACCTCACGAAGTGTTCCCCATTGTTGTCATTAATTCCTCCTGGATCATCCCTCACACTTCTGAAGCAAACAAACACAACAGTTGTTAAATAACAATGCTGACTGAACTTTAAAAAGAAAAAATAATAATAAACACACTGACAATCCATCCAACACCAAAAGCTTACCCGTTCATAGCTCGATGATTGGGGTCTTTAATTACGACAGGTGCATGTGTGTTCCCACTGCAAAACACAATTCAAATAAAATGGCGTTGAATCTCACCTGAGAAATGTTATTCAAAACCTGCTCAAGCCACACAAGGAAAGTAAGCAACAGGCACAAGAAAAAGTTAACAACCCTCTTTCTCACTTTTTAGAGGGCTGGACACCCTCGCAGCTCAAATTGTGGTCCAGACTAGAGACTGGAGCAGACCTGCCATCAGCTTCACGATCAATACTATGGAGACAATGGTAGCTTTTAGCAAATTATAGTCTAGACTTCCAATTGCTATTTAAAAAAAACACTTTAACGGTTTTGACAAAGACTAAACAGAGATCTGTGGATGAAGATGTTATATTGATAACATGACAACCTAAGCTGGGAACATGCACACTTTCAAGTGTTTTATCATACTCAATATCATTTTCAACGCTTCCATCTAGATCGGTGGCAGCTATTTCACACAGCCTGTAATAACAAAGAAAAGATGTAAATCTATTCAACTTCACATATCTCTGGTAAAAGTATTCTAATCTAAGCTTACCTCATATCACCATTGAGTTGTTGTCCTTCCAAATCAACAGCTATGTTCTCCTGGAATCCACTTCCTGCAGGGTGTCTTAAAGAGACATTCAAACATAGAATTACATTCAGCAGCACTAAATAAACACAAAGAAGTAGACCTAATGTGTTGAATGGAGCAAGAAGATTATTATTATTATTATTTATATATACTGTATATATTTTATACTTTAATTCACCCTTTCTCTATGGCGACATTTGACTTTGACCAACTTTTTGTTTGTGTTTAACCATTTGAAACGTAATGCCAGAAGTGTATTCAAGTGCAGTGGTTCCAGCTGTAATGTATTTGAAATAAATACATACCTAGTTACCTGTGCCCCTTCCCTCTTTGTTATTCTGAGACAAGAGCGTAGGTACGTTGAAAACTGCGACACTTTACGTGCACAGTACTGCTTCCTGAAACAAGAAACAAACCACAACAAATGTTTCTCAGTTCATGCAGGATACTGTGTTAGTAAATGTGTATTAAAACTAACCGTAAATTGTTAGTGCAAATAGAATATAACTCACTTTTTCCAATAGAGCAGCACCACCACAACGACCACAATGAGCACCACAACAACAACACAAAGTCCAACTGTACAACAAACCAAAAAATAACATGTTATGATCAAATATTAACTTGAGTTATTTTACAACAGATGAATTCCATCAGAAAAACGTCCACTTACCAATAAGGTTCTTTGGGGGAAATGTAGGATCAGGCTCATCCTGCTTCTCTGGCTCCTCTGTTTGAAGGTAAAAAGGTACACATGTTTACGATGTATATGTGATATATATATATTTGTGTGTTTGTTTATAAATCAAACATTTTATTGACTTACCGGTAACTGTATAATCCACGCAGATTTCGGTAAGAAACGTATTCTCCTGAAAAGTAAAATAAAAGTCTATATTGTGGGTATTTTTACATTTTCTCTATTTACATAATCAATATATTACTTTTATTGATTTAATAAATGACAGAGGGAGACTCACTCCGGTAAAAAAGCATTGTATGTGCAGGTCTCTGCAGTGTCTTGTAGTGACTGAATCAGGCGTCATGCTCTTCACTTCATCCGAATAATTATAAGGTCGAGGCCCATCAACAGAAACAGCAATTGTAGACTGTTGGGAAATAATAAAAAGTTCACCTTAAATGACGTCAAGTTAAACAAAAAACATCAACATCAGTGTCGAACTCGCACTTCCTCTTTGTCCCATCACCTTGAATGTATTTTTCTTTTTTACATAGGCCTAGTTAAGGATAAGCAAACGTGTTAGAAAACATTTGACTACCAGAGTGTGTAGAAGTAAATAAAAAATACCTTATTTTGATATACGTGAACTTTTCCTTCCGCAGGACACGAGAGTGGGAAAGTGTATCCCTCAGCCGTTGTTGAGTTACAGGAAATGTTTCTATGGAGGCACTCTGTGTGACGATAGATATCAAATGTATCACAATACACTTTGAGCTCTCTATAAACATCCTACAGGGCTCATAAATTGTAGAAAAATACATTATCATGTAGAATAACTACAGAATAAACTTACTGATGAGGATAAGTGGGGACATTTTGGGAGCAGGCTCATCCGGCTTCCCTGTAGTAAATAGTTGGGATACATCATGCTTTAAATGATATACGATTTATACATGTACCATAACAAGCTTTAAGCTTTCTTTAAAACTCGTAAAATAGCAACAGGAAGCGCGTAACAGAAACAAGCTTACGCGAACAAAAAGTAGGCTATTGAATAACTAATTAAACTATACAAAAATACATAGGCCTAATCACAATGCTCAGTCTCTTACCTAATGTTTTTCCGATACAGAACAACGTGAAAATTATAGCAAATTGGTACATTTTGTCGAAGACAGACTCCACGGAGATATAAAAATAACTGCGCACTTCAGTTGGAGAAACAGAAAGTGATAAAGAGGGTGTATGTATGAGGCTATTAGCTTCCGTTTGTATGGGAAGTAATACCCATGGAAAGGTCATGACTATGAGATAGAAAAGTCGAAATTATAAGATAAAGTTAATATTTTGAGATAAAAAGTCAATACAAAGAAATGCAAAATCATGGTAACAAATGTGGGGATAAAAAGTCATATTTATGACGGCAAAAGACAAAACCATGACATTAAAATTCCTAATGAAGAAATACTTAACATACAATATCAAATCTGGCAGCTTTTGGGGGTAAATGTTCCTATTTATCTTTCACAGAAGTGCATTGTGAGAACATTGAGGGCTATTGAAGACTAGATTCAGGCCCGGTTCTACGGGGGTGCATAAGGGTGCATTGCACCCTCAGTTGAGTCGTTATGCACCCTCATTTGAAAAATGAAAAGTGAAAAATATTACGCATATAATTACAATAATAGAAGAAGAAGAAGAATATAGTTGAAATAAAATAAATTGTGCTTAAATAGCATTGACCTGCTGCATTTATTTGGTCAATTTAAACGGTAAGTAACGTTATAATGTCAGGTGCGCGTGACCTGTGCCGCTGCGCGTTCGTCATCTGCAAGGTGCTTACACAGCAGTCAATTCAATGATGGACATCAGAAAATTGTTAAAACAACCAGCCCTTGTCGCCAGCAGTAACACGGCATCTACTGCAGGTAATAACAGTTCAGATCATGGGGACATTGCGTTACCCGCGGCCACTGTCGTGGCGTCCTCCCGCCCGACTCGCCGGCTTTGCCAACCTCGCCCACGGAGGCGGAGCAGCCGCATCCGTCTTCGTTGCCCCAAACACCGCCACCCCTCGGCGGCCCGCAAGTGCCAGAGGACCTCGGCAAAACAGAGCCTGCCCAGCTTTATTAAAAAAAGTACCCAACTCGCCTGTACAGTGGGGTAAGGCGCTCATTTTGCAGCTCATGGTTTCAAAACAGAGATTGGCTGGAATATTCATGTAAAAAAGATGCCATCTTCTGCTATGCATGAAGACATTTCGGTTCAAGTAAGTCAGATGCCTTCACCACAACTGGCTACTGGCGCCATGCTCTTGTACGTGATAAGGGACTGGAAAGGCATGAATCAAGCAAAGAGCACATAGATCCATATATCGCTTCATTTTGCTCTCAAAGTGCACCAGATTGATGCTTTTAACTTCAATATTTAAAAAAAAAAAAGGAGGTGAGGACCCCCCTAGAGGGTGTTAGGTCCACTCCCCACTTATAAAAATAGCACTTTACCACTGCACCCTCTCTAATCTCAGATACACCCTGAGTCATTTTGTTCTGGAACTGGGCCTGACTACATTTACTACAGATAACATGCTTTCACATGGGTTAACAGGCTATTAACGCACCATTGAAAGAATTTGAAGCAAAAAGCATCTTTGGCATTGAAAAAATTCAAAGTTGCACCATCTGTGGAGATGGTGCAGGCTTGCAATTAATGTGTCTAAGTACATTTTGCTATAATATTTAACAAAACGTTTAGCTATGTGCTAGACCTATTGACTAACTGAGAGAAGTTGACTATTTCTCTAACAACTTCTTAGACAATTTATTAATTTAGTTGTCATTTCTTCAACCAATACACTTAACACATTCTGAAAAAAAGAACAGATGATTGTACTGAATATCTTTTAAAGCAACAAGTGACCATATGTGGAAATAAGTAGTTTCCTGTTTTGTCTGCTGGGAATGAGTAATACGTTCTTAGTTCTGGTATGTCAATAATAGGAACATTGTTAAATAATGCCCTCTTTTTTGTAGTCACCCTTTAATTTCGTTTTCAGCATTAGGAAAGGTAATCAAATACAAACTTACTTTCATGGTATTAACCTGAACACTAATTTTCTACATTGCAGACCTTGCCTTTCTACATGTAATGCTCTGACGCAAATGAAGGATCACTGGAAAAGTGAACAAGACAATAGGAAGTTAGTGGGTGCAGTATTATTAGATTGTAGTTCTGCTTTTGGTGTTATTAATCATTCGTTGTTGTTACACAAGCTGGAACAATATGGTTTTACTTTGAATGCACAAAGGGGTAAAGAAAGTTACATGAAACATCCAAGGCAAACTGTTTTCTTAAATGGAAGTTTGTCAAAGATTAGGAAAATTGGAGTACCTCAAGGTAGTTGTTTGTTACCGCTTTTGTTTTCTGTATACATAAATGACTTCCCATTAGTGCTAGAGAAGGCCAAAATTGTAATGTATGCCAATTATTCGACAATATATGCAGCAGCGCCATCAACAGAAAGCTGAGTTACTTTCTTAATAGGGACTTGGGTAAAAAGTTATTGCTTGTTGGAAAAACCAAATCTGTTGACTCCCTCTTTAAAAATAGGATACAATCATAAGTTGAAAGCTGAATCGAAATTGCATTTAAATATAAACCATATACCAATTGAACAGGTATAAGAGACATAACTGCTAGGTGTATTACAGTGCTCTTATAGAAAAAGTGTAACAGACATGCATGAAAAAGTAAGCTGTCAGGCAGAGATCCTCATCCACCTATGCTGTGTTGAATTTTACCAGAAATGTAACAGTGACGTACTATTAGACTTTTCTCGCAGTTTGCCAAACATAATTATCAATCACAACATGCAATAGAAAGAAGGTTCATGTTACCTAAATCTAATAGGATTCAGAAATAAAGAAGTTAATGGTTGAACAACGGTTTCCTCCTCATTTGTAGTTTCCACAGACAACACAAGGGGAGGCCCTCGTCCTACAGTTCAGATTGAGGAGACTCCCCTCGTCACACTGTTGTGTAGAAAAACAAAATACCCACAGGGTTTTAATTATGTTCTAGATTGAAATATCGAAATCAGTGAATTATAAGATAAGCACATCCTGCAGTGCACTAATGACTCTGTATTGCGGCATGATCTTTTTACCTCTCAGGTAGTTCAATTGTATTAATCCCTGTTCATGTTTGCGGTATATCCTCCAGTTTTCTTTGGAGATAGGTCGTAGACAGAGGGTGGCAGTGCCACTGAAATATTCTAACTATGAGAGGATAGAACAGATGCAACTGAGTACTCAAAGAGGCCTCTGTCATTTCCCTTTCATACACACACATAAACACACACACACACACACACACACACACACACACACACACACACACACGGTGCGAGGATGAAGCAGAAGCCGCCATGCTGCTGCACGCTTCATTTGCACTGCATCTTCTCTGGTCCACCGAGAAAACACAGACCATCGCCTGTGACACTCAATATGGGCCCCTCTCTATCTCTACAACTCCATCTACTTCCTCTCAGTCCCTCTCTGCCTCTCCTTTGCCCTTCCCCTTCTCTCTTACATTGCAACCGTTTACCAGAGTAGTGAGTAAAAAAATGTGCCTCCCAAACATACTCTCAAGTTTCCACCTTAATTATCACATTGGCATGAGGAAAGGCATTAATGACAAGTATATTTATTAATAACTAATGCGGTGTGACTAACCAGTTAACCTTTGAATCAGTCATGATTGCTTCCTCACTTCTTGGCGAGAACCGTAATGAATAAAAATGACAGCATCACAACAAGCATGAATGAGAGAGTAAATGGAGTTGGCTCATCCCTCCCCTGGTGGGAAGTGGACTTGTCCAATCTTTTGATTAATTTTTCCAATGATATCAAATGACAGTGGGAGGCTTGGATCTCCTCTTCCTATCCACAGAGCCCCTGCAGAAGCAGAGAGCAGAGATGACGCAGGAGAGGCTGTAAACACACACAAAGCTCTGATCATGCCTGTCCCACAACACAAACTCCCACAAACACCACGCAGCTAGTTCTCAACTTGAGTAAATTCCAGCTAGTCTAAACAGGAATTTTAAGATAAATAATTACAATACTGCTGCTTTTGAGTCCTCTGTCCAGCTGCCTCAACTCTTCCCTTCTTGTTCTGCTCACAAGAGTGACGATGAGAGATAAACAGCCATCTTCCCGTCTCCCTACCTACCCCCCCAATCCCTCATTCTCTGTCCATGTGGATAAGTGCACTAAGAGCACGAAGAGTACTGGCTCTGGTAATTGTAAGATATTTTAATGAACAAAACGAGGACAGGGGTAGATTAATCCCCACAAAGTTCTTTCAATTCTCTTTTGGGAACCCAAGTTAAAACAAAACCTTGGTGCACCATTCAGAGCGTGTGAGTTGTGGAGTCAAAGCTGAGGCAAAGCAACACCCTGAGAATCCTGAGTAGCTCTGAAACAATAATGCTGTCTGCTCGGTACCCTGCTTGGCTGGAACTTGCATGGCTCCTTAACGGTTTCTAAATACACATGGTAGAAAGCATTCAGGCCAGGAGTGACTCCTTTTAGCAAAATAGTATCAAGTTCTCACCCTGCCCGTGAGTTTTTTCGACTTTTTTCATAGATAACACATTCAGTTAGATTATTTTAGCAGACCGCAATGTCACCATCAATCACAAGGCCTTTTCCCTCAACTCAAACCGTAGAAGCGATTGAACTGTGGCTCGGAAAAGCTTCCAGTCACTAGGGGTGCTTTCAAGTAAAATGGTAATAAGCATAATCCCTCATTCTGAGTGCAAGACCAAGGAAGAAGTGAGTTTAGTGAGCAGCAAATCGTGCTGGGGATGTTACAAACACTTTGGCCTGTCCAGCCTGCCCATTGTGAAGCATGACACCCCCAAGTTGGATACCACTAAGAAGCATCTACACTCTGCCAGCACAGGAAGTCCACCAACACACACTGACATACTAACTCACATAGAGAAATGCACATGATCACATTCATCAGCTGTTCCACGCACTGGATAGTGATCTGTTCTGTAATATATACACATACAATCCTGTGGCCACATTATGGCAATTGCACACCAAAGAAATGCTCAGCTAATACAATTTAATTTGCAAATTGAATATTCTTTGTGAGTTGTAGGAGTTGAGCTGCTATGGGAATATATGAATATATGAAATTACAGGGCCTCAGACAATAACATGC